CATTTATAACACTAGTGCTACAAATAGAAGCCTTTGAATGTTCTCTTACCCCAGAAACGTCATCGGTACCCCTAGTTGCAACCTTATCCAAGTCTTTGGTGGCGTTAGCAGGATCAATATCACGATCAAACCCTTAATAACTTTGTTTTGGGGATGCCCCATACTTTTATTATTACATTCAAGAACATCGGGATTTATTTCAGTACTCTCTTCAACCTCGGGTTCTCCTCTTTCTCTGTGGATAATATTATTTAATCGATTAACAAGATCATCTTTCAAAACTTTTGTCAGTAAGTTTCTCCTCTTAAGTTCTTCCCTTAATGCTGGTACCTTTCATTTATCAATGGAAAGATTATCAAACACATGATAGTCTGACATCTTTATCACCAATTGAAAACCATTTTGACAAACCTGATAGTCAGATAGATATATAAAAACTAGAAGAAAATGAGATGAATGTTTCTCAAATCTAGAAAGAGACAAAATATTCTATGCAGATCTTTTACTTTTCTCCCTTTAGCAAAGATGAGTAAAGTTCTCACTATAGAAATTTTAACTATACCTGACAGGTTACAAATAAATGCATATTTCTAAAGGACAAGACTTCCTTAATAGTATGTTCTTTATAAATCAAAATATATTCACATATACACCAAGCCGGTGTTAAAACTATTTAATAAGCATTGGACCATAGTTGGTTAAAATAAAAAAGAGTATCTAACTTTGAAATTGGAAAAGAGGATTTGAAAGTTTAAGTTATTTGGACATGAATTTCATTTGGAATAAAAACTATGAGTTAGTGCAAGACATTTCACTTGAAAAAACTCTTCAACAAGTTTTTTAATATTTTACCAAAGTTTCAAACACCAACAGGCTAACCCATTATTTGTAAAAACTGAACTTCAGTATTTGCAAACAAAGAAATACAACATATGGCCAAAAGCTTCTAATATAATGTAGTTCACTGCTCCACAACAGTTAACTATGGTGTCCTGCCAACTCTTAATAAAAAAAAAGGTACACACTTTTTAATCCAAAGGTACAATCTTAAGCTTATCTCATTTTCTGGTATTAAAAAAAGGCGATCTAGTTACTCAATGATTACTTTTTCACTTTGCCGCTCTTCTACATCTTCCAGCTCCGTAATTGCTTATGGCCCTAGTTATACCTCTATTCAAGTTAATGGAAAATGCTAGAGACTACAGTTGTAAGGCAACACTAAATGCAACAGATTATGGTTCGAATCTTCCCAATATTCCTTCAACGTTGAACACCACCTCATCATTCTCCTCCCAAATTTTCAAATGTAAGAGTCAGTTCACATGCTATATATAAAGTGAAATGCAACTTCTCTTGGTGTCTTTGTGTTCTATATCCTATGAATCAGGTGCAAATTACATAGCTCCAAAATATTTAGCTCTAGGTAGCACAACTATTGTATAGATTGGTCAAGTCAAAATTCACATCCACAAATCCATGGAAGCTGAAAAATTTATCGTGCATCACAAATAAAGAGGGATTCCAACATAATTACTATAGATCCCATTTTCCTCTTTAAACCATGCACCTCACTATCAGTTAAAAAATGCATAGTGCAGTCAAGTAGCCAATAGAAAAAAAGTTTTGGCAATTTCTCTAAAACCCTAATCCAGAGCTATAGAAGAATTTTTTCAGTCGAAGAACGATTTCATTAGATTTTTTTCATTCATCGAAGCAGAAAAAGTGTTAATTCATTCCTTTTTACATTGAGCTCAGCAAGACAAAAGTTTAAACAAATTAGGGGTGGGCATAAATATCGAATCGAACCGAATTATTTTGGTTCTTCGATTCTTCGGAGTTCGGTGCAAGGGTCTCGAAACTATGGTGCACCGAAGAACCGAAGTTTTATTAAATAGATTTAAAAATATTTAGTTATATTGCTTAATTAATAATACTTATATATTTTTTACTTAAAATATTTACATGACCCATTTAAACTTTTACTTCAGCTAGCCCTTTACGATCAAAATTTGTTTTATTGATATAATTTTACAATGACAATTAAGTCTGGAACTATTGTTGTAGCAAATGCTTGTTAGGTTGTTAGCTTTTGTTCATTGTAGCAACTAGCATACACTTGTTAGCTTCCGTTTATGTACCTTCTCGTATACTGTGAGTCCTTATATTTGCTTTCTTCTTTATTTATTCAGGTATGAGAGAAACAAAAAATAATCTCATATTTACCTTCTCTTTATTTTTATTAAGCACACGAAACTCTTAACACTTTATCATATTTTTACTTTATTTTTTATCACACCGAAAAATCGATTTAAAATAATCGAGTTAAATCGAGCAGAAATAGAAAAAACTGAATTGAATCGATCTTAGTTTGGTATAAATATGATGCACACTTTTTATAAATCGAATACCGAAGAACCAAATCAAAATTTAATTAAACCGAATCGAAAAATCGAACGTCCATCCCTAACCGAAATAAATTGAGCTCAAATGAAATGAAACTAGGTTGAATTAGTTTGAAATGAGTTGAATTGAAATAGACTCAAGTCAGACTTAAAAGCAAGTTTGAATGATTATGTTTTCATGATCAAAATTTGAACCTTTGTTTTGTAGGGGTATGAGCAAATGATTCAATTGAAAATAATAATAAAAATAATATTATATTATCGGACTTGTTTTATTGGATCAGTGATTTTATAGGCTTTTTTGAATTGAAATATCAATTTTTAAATTTAACTAATACCTAATAAGATCATTTTTTTCTTAATGTTGTACTATACGAATAAATATTCTCTCCTCCTTTCTGTATTTTTTTTTTTCAATCTTTTGTCCCCTAGATTAAAATGTTCATAATTCATTGTATGTTTGGTAGGGATCAACATGTTTTCTAAATTTCTTATATTTTGGCTAGTTAATATATTTAGAAAATATTTTCTTAGGAAAATAAATTCATTAATTAAAAATGAGAAAAATAGTTTCTCTTATTAAAGCAAGGAAAATAAGTTATTACATAGTAAATTTCAAGTTTATTGTCTTTTCCGTATCCACTCAGTTCGCCCGACTCCCACCTTTTGACCATCCCACCCCGTCACCTCCCACTCCCCACACCTTATTCCACTCAGAGTCTCTTCTGTAGTATTTTATAAAATAACATATAAATATTCTTGACATATTATTTCCTTATATATGCTCATCAAAATATCAGAAAATAAGTAAGAAGTCCACTTGATTTTGGAAAAAACATTTTCTTTCTTATCAAATACACCACGTAGTTCATTTTTCTTTTCTTTTTTCACGCAATTCACGGTAAGGGAAAAGAAAGTGAAAAAACAAATTTGAAGGAATATTTTTATTGATTAAATCAAAATTGAATTGATAAATCACAAACAAAAAATCAATAATAAATATTTTATCAATTTGATTACTAACACATTAATAATCAGTAAATTAAATTAATAATATATAAAATGACTCAGCCATTGACTATAATTTTGAACAAAAATTTCTGTAAACAACACTAACTAAAATCATAAATGTTACGGAATTACAGGCCCCATGCACTTTTTGACCAAGGTTAAAAATAAAATAACATTACATGCATATTAATCATTTTTATTTGTTCATAGGATTCTTAATGGGGCATGTTAGAATCTCTGTCACCTAACCTTTATTATGCCATCAATAAAAGTCACTAAGCGAAAAGGTCCATTGTAAAGTCTTGACAATAAATGATTAAATATGTGTATATAATGCCAAAAGTGCACCTACCTAAACCCAACAATATAATATTTCCTCTCGTACAATTTTTTGATATTCCTATTAAAATTAAAATTGAACATTCGAGAAGTAATACTCCTTATTATGATTATTGTTGTATCTAAAATTCAAATTTGAATCTACAGATAAAAAACAATCTCATTTAGTTGCAATAGATCATTTGATTGTCCAACAATGTAATCAAATTTAAGAAGGTCAATATACTATAGCCCCTTAAATTACATAATGTTTAATGCTTAAATTATTACATATTTTAATTAAACATCTAAATATATAATAAATTATTCTTTATTAAAACCATCAATTCAAAATTTGAAATTTATTTTGTGCTTGTTCTCAAATACAAATCAAATAGTTTTATTTTTAATAAACATAATTTTTTTTCCTAACCAAACACACCCAAATATTACCATAACAAATGGTAAAATAAATATTTTTTGTTATTAGAGATTTCTAATTCTAATTTAGAAATGAATAATTGATATGAATAATGAGTTCGTATCTATTTAAACTAAGGAAAAAGAACTAATATGCTCTCGAATTATCGTAAATGGTATGCAGATATCCTCCGTCATACTTTTGGTGATATTGGTGCCTCTGTTTTCCAAAAACTAGAGTATATATACTCTTTATACTAACAGACATGCACGTATCATAATTTTATCCATCAATTAACATGTATTAAATATCGAATCCACAGATAAGATTGTGCCACATGTTTCTATTTAGTCTTCGTAAAAGACATATATGCTATAATTTTTTTGGATGGTAAGGACATCAATGTCCCAAAAATATGACGGAGGATATATACTGCATATCATTTATAATAATTCAGGGATATATTTATCATTTTTTCCTTCAAACTATGATTAATATTTTAAGATACTCCTTCCGTTTAAAAAAGGATAACCTAGTTTGACTTGGAACGGAGTTTAAGAAAGGAAACAAGACTTTTTAATCTTGTGGTTCTAAATTAAAGTTATGTCAAATGTACCAAATTGCCCTTTAATTTTGCGGTGTTAAACATGTCACGTGAAAAGTTAAAGTGTCATTCTTTCTGAAACAGATTAAAAAGAAAATAGAGTCATTTTTGTTTGTAACGGAGGGAGTATATATTTTTTTTGAAGCGTAATAAAATATTTTTTTTTCAAGTGTAATAAAATTTAAAGAGTGGTATTTGTCTTTTTCTTTTTGTTTTGTTTTTCACCAAAGAGTGGTGCTTGTCAGAAAAGAAAAAAGTAAAATCTGGAATTGCGATATGACTTTTCTCGTCAATGAACAGTGAACACTCCCCAGTTTTTGTAACACAACTTCAACAAAACTAAAAACCCCTCCGATTCTCTATTTCTCTTCACACCTAACAAAAATCTCTACCTTCTAGGGCTTTGCTTCAATGGCGATTTCTCTTACGGCAGTTGTACTTCTGATGACGGCGGTATTGATGCTTTCCGTTGAGCTCGCCGCCGGTTATACATTCTCGTCGAGGTTGATTCACGGGTTCTCAGATGAAGCGTTGTCGTTTTGGGCATCTAAAGGGAAGAGTATGACGTGGCCGAAGCGCGAGAGTGTGGAGCATATGAGGTTGCTACTTAGTAATGATTGGAAACGACAGAGACTGAAGCTTGGTTCGCAGAAGCAGCTTTTGTTTCCATCTGAAGGAAGTGAAACTCATTTCTATGGAAATGAGTTGAGTTGGTTAGTAATACTATCAGTTTAAGAGATTTGTTAAAAATTGAAGCTTATAATGCGTCAATGCTGGAGTGGATTTTGCGTTTTTTTTTTTTGTTCTTTTGAATTTACTGTTGCATAAGGATTCAATTATTTTTGCTTATGATATACTAGGTTTAGTTGAAAAAGCATAAGATAAGTGACCTTATAGTTGCTGTCCTCCGGTGGGGCTTTGGGTACTCCCTCTTAGATATGTGAAAGAAATGAGCTACTAAAATCATCTAACTTTTTCCCCAACTGAGCTATGAGTTGAGTTGTTTTTGGAAGTTATAATCTATCCAACTTTTTCCCCAACTGAGCAATTGAATTGAATTGTTTTTGGAAGTTAAAATTTTGGTGTTGTTGCCTCCTTGAATAAATACTCTTCTCGATTGTCCATGGTTGAAATATTGGAATGATACAAGTTGATCACATGTTTTTCTCCATGCCGTTAAGTCATTTTCTTGACAAGTGTTAGAAATCTTGAAGAGATCTCCTTTCCCTTCTATTTTAGTAGTTGGCTCTTCTTATAGAAAATTAAAAAAATTCAAAGCCCTTATATGCTGGGAACAAGAAATAGTTATGTTGAAAAATAAGAATAAGAATGCTAAGCTCTTAAACAATATTAGTATATGAACACGGCAGTTCAACCTTTCTTGACAGGTCACCTTTTCGAACATGACCCTTACTATGGAGCTCGGGGATTTTAGATTCATGTGATGGTAGGCGATTATGTTCCCTTGTCACCCCTAGAGGGGAGGGGTGGAAGTATTGGAGAGTTTATCTTTCCATGACGAAATGGATGTTGTAGGAGAGGTTGGAAGGGGGAGTTTTGCTAATGATGGTTTGTTTGTGGGCAAAGGAAGGTCTTTTTCTTTCTCTTTCCATTGCTTGACTATGTTTGCTTTGCAAGGAAGGGAAGCTCAACCAAAAGTCCAAAACCTTTGACAGTTCAAATAGTGATAGTATTGAATATTGCATCAAAGATTTTGTTGAGATCTTTGCCGAGTAAAAGAATTCTTTTTTTCTCAAGTTCTAATAAAGTGTCTTGATTGTTCTGGATTACTATTATTCAGGCTGCATTATGTGTGGATTGACATAGGGACACCAAACACATCATTTCTTGTCGCCTTGGATGCTGGAAGTGATCTGCTCTGGCTCCCTTGCAATTGTGTACAATGTGCTCCATTGTCTTCAAGCTACTACTCAATGCTGGTAGGTTGCTCATGCTAATTGTTGCATTTGACTGTCTATTCTTACTGGTAATATTTGACCTTTCTTTTATTTCAAAACATAAGCTTGGTTTTGAAACTACTATCAACTTAAAGTAAGGGGGATGTCACCTTCACTTATCATGGGACATCTGGGACCACTAAAATATTATAGCATGCTTAATTTAATTTGATGTAGTTACTCTAAAGGAAGATATATAAACTCTTACAACATCAATTGTGCTCTGCAAATTTTTCTGTCCAAGTTATAGCTACTTGTGCAGTTGATGCTTTGTGCAACCTCAAAGACCAAGTTTCTGTGGTCTTAACTCTTCAAGTTACTGCTGTACCCTGATGTATTATCTTGGAACCTCAACATTTTCTTTCTGAAAGGCATTGATTTTCGTTTAAAGATATGCCAACTAGTAAAAGGTTTAATGCTTTTAGATTTTGTTGCATCTCGCAGCTTCCTCTGTAAAATCATTTTCTGTTTAAGTAAAACATTTTTATTTTAAGATATGTAGGATTCAAGGTGTAGAAAATTAGTTTTTTCCTACTTCAAATTCTTAGACTGATTTGGGCATGTACATTTTGGCTGGTTCATCTCTTACTGAACAGATAGAAAAACCATTTTTACTTTTCTTTTATAGATAATAAAACTCATTATTCAGTTGAGCTAATTAATCTCTTATCAGTGAAGCATTTGAAAGTGACTGTGTATCTCATCATGGGAACAGTTTTAGCTGTTAATTCTCCAATGATTGATTGGCAGGTGCTCCCTTGTATATGGGGCATCTATTATGCAGGATAAAGATCTGAATGAGTATAGCCCAGCACGATCAAGCAGTAGCAAGTATCTATCTTGCAGCCATCAATTATGTGAACTGGGTCCTAACTGCCGGAGTCCAAAGGAACATTGCCCTTATACTGTTAATTACTATTCTGAAAATACATCAACTTCGGGGTTCCTTTTCGAGGACCAATTGCATTTGACTTCAGTTGGTGGACATGAACATCAAGGTTCTGTGCTAGCTCCTATTGTTATAGGGTATGCTCTTTTCTTTTTCCAGTTCTGTATTATTGTAAGTAGGATCAGCTCAATGGTTTTGTGACAAAGAAGACTTGATAAACCTTCTTTATGAGTTCCATTATGAGCGAGTTTGTAGGTGCCTTAGCTGAATGTAGCAAAGGATTCTCCAATGAGAAGATTTGACCCTTGAACCTTGATACCTTTTATAGCTGTCTCAGTTGTGACTGTTTATTTTTGGCAATATGATTGTCGCCTAGCTGCTAGTTGTCATGTTACAGTATTTACCAGTTGGTTGATGAATGTGGTTTTCTTTTACGTAATAACTTATTGCAGCTGTGGTAGCAAACAAAGTGGCAATTATTTGAGTGGAGCTGCTCCAGATGGGGTGATGGGATTAGGGCCAGGAGAAATTTCTGTTCCAAGTTTGCTGGCGAAGTCTGGATTTGTTCCACGCTCATTCTCATTGTGTTTTGGAAAGAGCAATTCTGGCACAATTTTCTTTGGTGATAAAGGGCCTGAAAATCAAAGACGAAGTTCATTTGTATCTTTGGATGAAAATTAGTATGTATCTCCTCTATTCTTTTGTGCTATGTTTAGTTTGATAGGCAATTTAAACAACTTCATTTGCACATTATCTTATGTTCCTACTCGTAATTTTTACCAGCAATACCTATGTTGTTGAAGTTCAACATTATTGTGTTGGGGGTACCTGTCCAAAGCAAAGTGGATTTCAAGCCTTAGTTGATAGTGGGTCTTCCTTCACTTTTCTCCCTTCTGAAATCTTTACAAAAGTAGTAACTGAGGTACAAATATCATTTTTCTCTTGTCCTGCTATTCCCCTTTTCACTCTCTTAATTTCACAAGTTACTCTTCAGCTTAGTTTTAGAATGCACATGCAGTTTTTTTGCGGTACCTGAGCTATTTCCTATTTTTTTCTCTTCTAGTTTGAAGAGCAAATGAACGTTACGAGGTTAGCTATAGAAGATTTTCCTTGCTGCTATAAGGCTAGGTAAAGTCTGCTCTCGTGAAAATGCTGTTTTTTTGTTTTATTTACTTGTAGATTATTCTCCATATGCTTTTTTATGCAGTTCACAAGGTTTACCGAACATTCCTAGCATGAAACTTTTGTTAGCTGCTAATCAGAGCTTTGTAATTCAGAACCCCATGTTTACCATCTCCAGTAGTCAGGTCAGTATTTGAATCTCTTTGTTTGCCATCATCCTGCAAATTAATCTTTTTTGTTGAGGCATAGAAGATTTAGCTGTAAGATTTTTTTCTTTGAATGAGCTGGTAACATGCGATGCTTATGCATGCAAACTCACTTGCATTTATATGAAGATGAAGTTAGTGCACCCAAAATGCAGAAACTGACTCAGGTCTTAATCTGGAATTAATACTATCTCTACCTTTTCTGTCAATTTAAGTACTTGCTATTTTTCTTTTTCAGGAAAAAAATTACTCCCTACTTTTCATTTTGTGTCTGGTAGCTAACTGGCTTTAGAGCTTTTAATAGTTGTTAATTTCATTGTTACTATTATTTTGGATTTGGAATTTCTCTAAAATCTAAGTTCTTGTGAGATTGAATCCAGCTCTTCACCAAGAAACTTTTGGTAGAGATGCTTGAAGCATATCACTTAAGGTGAACGAGAGTCACTGCAAGAAAGGATCCAAAGTTTGCTATGAGTGATGTTGAACAGATAGGACATGGGGCTAATTGGTGCCATGACACCTAAAGCTTAAGAACATTTCTGCTGGTACTTGGGAAATTTTTGATAGTGTAAACTAGCTCTATAAGATTTTGTATGTGGCTTCTGTGATAGGTTTACTGTAGAACTGCAATCCTTCCAAAAATTTCTTCTGTGTCCATCCCAGCTTGTTAGTTCTTATCATCTCTCCTATGAAGTTAGTTCTCTAAAAATTCTACTCTCCCTCTATCAATTTGTTGTCTTGCTTTCCTTTTTAGTGTGTTTCAAGAAGAATGCCTCTTTCCTAATTTGGCAACTCAGTAATGAGTAACTTCAACATCCTACCTGGCGTGTTTAAGGCCAACAGAATGAAGTGAATTTTGATACAATATACATATTTTTAGTTTAAGACCACAAGATTTAATAGTCATCTTTACATAAACTCCATGCCAAGTCAAACTAAGACAAACAAATAGAAACAGAGAGAGTATTAGTTTTGCCAACAATAGAAAATATATTTATTAGTTTTGTCATAGTGGCTACTGGTTACAAAGTCAGTTTGTTTGGTCCCATTCATTAGTAATCAAAGTTGTAGCACGTTGTTTTGCAAACTTCTGGAGTAAAATGCTCTCTATGTGCAAAGATGAATGACGGATAAATGCCCTTGTACTTGGTCTATGTTCATCTTTGTTTTACTGCTGTGAATAAACATGTTACCCTGTTGCCTTTGCATGCTTAAACAATATCTTTTCAATTCCTTTATGACAAAGCAAGTATGGTTTTCTCCATAAGTTTTCTAGTGTATGATCCCAAGTTCACTGTGCCCTCTCATGGACTTTGTTTTGCAGACTTATAGTGATGGTTTCTTATTGGAGGTATTTTGTGCAGGGTGATAACTTTTATTGTGTGGGTCTCCTACCTATTGAAGGAATGATTGGTATTATTGGACGTAAGTTCATATGTAATTTTGAAGTAATGTAAGGCGCACATATATGCATGTTGACTGTTGGATGTTCCATGCAATTTCATTTGAATTATGCTGTGCAGAGAACTTTATGGAGGGATATCGATTGGTGTTTGATTGGGAAAACATGAAGTTGGGTTGGTCTCGCTCCAAGTGTAAGCTCATTGTGCATATTTAGTTTAAATTGAAGTAGTGTTTTGTTTTTTGCTGGATTAATAGGGCAAGACGAAAAACGAGTTTTGAGATATATGGGAGATAATTGGATTTGATAGGTATTTCTTTGATGTTCCAGTTTAGAGTTTTAGATTGATTCACCTGGGTTATTTATACGGTCCTGAAGTTGGTAATTCTTATGTTGTTCTTTGAGCGAATTCATGCAGACAACACCATTGCTCATTTTTTAACTTGTATCGGCCGGTTAATCTTAGTAAAACCTACTTTTGTGAAGTTTGGCACATATAAATGTTTCACTAAATTCGGCCCCTCAAATAATTGTCTATTGAGTTATAATTGGCGTATTAACAATGATAATTATGAAAACCATAGTAAACTTGTAGTAATTAGCATAATAACTATCATGGCTAGTGCCTGCCTCATGGTAATGGTTTTCCTACAAGAGTCTTAAAAGCATGGAGAATTTCAAAAATTCATGCAATAACCCAATTGATACTTCTTCTGCAGTAGCATGTAGAATTATGTTATATAATTTTGTGTGCTACGAATTCATCTTTTACATCTTCAGGTCAAGACATAGACGGGACAGCAAAGGTATCACCAACACCACCTCCGAGTGGTTTGACATCAAATCCCCTGCCAACAACTGAGCAACAAAGGAACCCGGGTGGACATGCAGTTGCACCCGCTATTGCTGGTAAAGCTACCCCTAAACCATCTGCAGCATCACTCCTTGCAATTTCACGGCATTACACTATGAGTTCTCTTATATTCTTATTGGTTGTATGGTTGCCTTATCTGATATAGCATTTGTAATTATGTACGTATATGTAAATTCTCATGTCTACAGTCAGATCCTTCTCTCAGAAATCATGTAGTCTAGTCAATTAATTTCATTGGTTTTGTTTCTATCCTCATATCTATAGCTCTTTTTATGTCATTCAGTGTCATGATTGAGGCATGATGGGACACAGTTGTGATTTGACTTGCAATAATTTACTAGCGGGGTTCGTTTTTAGGCCTAATCAATTTGAGTAGTAGTACACTATCATTCCCCACACCAATGATTAGTTTTTTTTAGGAATACATGTCTTTCACAAAGTTACGGGAAGAGGGAGAACTTTGAAGATCATTGACTGGGGTGGTTCCAAATCCGTTGAACTGAAATATGATGTGAAATGTATCATATACAGTATTTTGGACCTTACACTTGTCAATTTAAGTGCTGCATCTTTCTGCCAAAGACACAAAGGCAACTCAGAACTCAAAAGCCTAGTCATTGTACAAAAATAAGACAAGCTGATACCCATTTATTTTCTGCTACAGTTTTTAGAGAAAATTCTTGTCTATTGTTGATCATGCTCACTATTAACTAGACATGCTCGGGCAGCTGTTTTGATCTGCTCTATATTTAGCCTATGGAAGAAATATGATTCATATAATCGACCCTAACTGGCTCATTGACTACAGAAGTAGCTGATTGATGTAGATTGTATAAGAATAGTATTGAATATGATGTATTAGTAATGCTGATACTATTTCCTATCCCCCGTTTGTTACGTCAAGGTCAGTTCTTGTATACATGTGGATTAAAGAGGTTCCACATGTATGGAGAATCATGATGGATATGTTAGGACAATGATCAACTTTTGCATGTGGATACTTTCACGTCCAAGTGTTATACTTCTGGGCTTGTTGTTGGGGTAGGGGTGATCAGTTTTGGCCTTTGAAGAGTTTGAAAGAGAAGAATGATTGGCCTTTGATAGAATAGAAGTTTGTTCCTTGAGTAATACATGGTGGGGTGGAAATTTACTCCTAATTAATACATAGTGGAGTGAAGTTTATTAGGTGGGCTACATTTCTATTCTCCTTCACAAAAAATGGCTAGTGTAGTCATTGTACATGTTTACGCCTCATTTCACTATGTAATAGGTATATTAGTAGGGTCAGAGCCGGAGAACAAAGTATGGATTTGATCGAAGCCAGTAACTTCAGTTTCAAACTCTAGATTTTTTTTATTTATAATCCTTTTATACGTGGATATAAATCACGCAAATGAATACGTCGATATGGCTAAGGACTAAAGTAGATAATTGGAGGTTGATAATGACTAATGAGCAATTAAGTAATGAATAGCCTAACTTTAGACAATGCCATTCTTGATGATATTTGGAGACGTACCCTTTAGGTGTCATCTAACCTGGGGTTTATACGCTATGAATTATGAAAATGACCTTAGAATAACGTCATGGAATGTATCTTTCATTTTAGAACACCCAGAATTGATTACTTCAAAAATTCAATTTATATATTTTTGTTGAAGAATGATAAAAGTTTTTGATGAGATTAGTGAACCCCTGATAAGGCTCTACTGATTCCAATGAGAAAAGATGAATTTACGTACAATATTCTATAGCTAGTATATATGAGATTAATCATTTTAATAATGATTTCAAACGCAATAATAATGCAATAAAAGGGTGAACATAGCTTTTTAAACTCCAAATCAAATCAAATATTGTTAAATTGAAGGGACAATGGGGAATAATTAGGTGACACAAGTCATCCTTTAATTAATTATGAGTACATGTTAATAAGAGATTGGAATTGCAATTACCTACCCATTGCGGCTCAACACCATAATTTTTGCTTTTCTCTTACACCTTTCCCGTTTTCATTGGTCCTCCGATTTTTAAAGGAAAAGCAAATGAACAGAAGACAAAAAAAAAAAAAAACTTAGCAATATTATCTTGTTTTTTTATTGGGCTAAAACAATCTAAAAATAGAAAAAACAATTATCATTAAGTTTTTGAGAGATCCTGGATCAGGAGTCGAGTACTGGGTTAAGGTCGGATATCATATCTCGAGTCGAGGTCAAAAGTCGAGTTAAAACTGAAAGTTGGTTACAAAGTTGAGGTCGAATCTCAAGTTAGGGTTATGGCTAAGAGTCAAGACTTAGGGGGTTGGGGGTAGAGTTTTGGATTAGGGACGAAAATCAGGTTTTGAGTCAGGGTTGAGAATTGAGTCTTAGTTCAGCGTTAGAATAGAGAGATATGTATCGAATTGAGGTCAATAGAATGAGTCAAAGATCGGATCTCGAGTCTCAAGTCGGGTACATAATTGAGAGTCGAGTTTTGTGTTAGGGTCGATATTTTAAGTCTTGAATTGGGGTTGAAGTCCGGAGTCATATTTCAGGTTTCGAATTTGAGTCGAGAGTCAGGTATCAAGAAGGGATAGAGGTCGAGAATAAAATTTCAGTTTGAAGTCAAAAAAAGGTACCTTGGCTAGAGTAAAGACTCGAGTTGGGGTCGGGACCCGACTCTTGAATAATGTACACTTAAGATATAGTTTGATTAAAAATCTAGATATATCTCAAAATTATAACCAAAAATATAATCATGGAATGATAACCATGATAAATAATCACACCATGATTATAAAAATTTGAATCCCATAATAAACAAAAATTCCACCACTATATAGAATAAATTATCTCATAATTATAGTATAAATTTATCTTTATTTTAACCTATACCTTCCACTAAACACAACATAAATTTAAATTCAAATTTTAAATTGAAAAATTCACTTAATTTATTTCTCCAACCAACCCCCTCCCTAATTATAATATGAGACTTTATTCGCACGTACAAACACTTTTGCCTCGAAAGATTATGAAGATTGAAAACATACGTTATCTATTCCTTATACTAAGGATCTCTTGGGCGGTGCCATTTTTGTTATCTTTGAAGAATACACCATTTTTTCTAGTCTTTGGTCAAGCACAACAACAAATTGCCTATGCGTTACTAATTATAGAAGTGGACTGTCAGTTAGTTCTTATTAAGTTCCTTAAACTATGGAGAATATGTAACATTTGTGTACAACTACTTTTGAATGAATTACATATATATATATATATTACTCCCTCAGTCCATCTCATTTTATATGAGGTAGGTTAACTCGTTATGAAGTTTAAGAAAGAAATAAATTTTTTTTAAAACTTATGATCTAAAATAAATGATAGAAATTTTTTGTGGCTATAAATCATCTCATTAAAAGTAAAATAAACATTTTAAAGTTAATACAAAAATATGTCATTTTTTTTAGACTGACTATTAAAAAAGTAAGTCATATAAATTGAGACACAGAAAATAATTTCTCGTAAGTAATACCTAGAATTAATTTTTGTTACACTCAACTCTCACTTATTCAAAACGGAAGAAAGTAATAGTTATTAAATGGACTTTAAACGATCAAAATAATGTCTATGCTCAAACTCTCTGTATAACTCAAAAAAGTATGGATAATTTAAACAAATTACCCCCCCCCCCCACCCTATGTTTTTATAACCAATTTGTTGGTTACAATTAGTTAATTTTCTTTCCCCCCCAACCCCCACACACACAAAAACAAAAATTTGTGGCGTTATCTAATGTAAACAAATCTATTTTTCCACAGTATCACCGCCCAATTCTATCTCAATCAAAACAAATTCAATACATGACAAACTGCTTTAACTACCTGTTTGTTTCTTTACTACACGTGTACAAATATCTACCCTTAGATTTTCCTTGTTGCCACGTGTTATTATGATCTCTTCCAACGTGGCAGCTATCAAAATCTATGACAAATTATAAAATAAAATTAATTACTCCATTTTTTGGGCCAATTTCCCTATTATTCATTTGATATAATATAGTGTGGACAATCTTTGGAAATGTCCCTTTCTATAAACATGAATCACCCAAAACTTTACCTTATAATTTCACCTTTCGTGTAACCCAAGTGATAGTTTCTCTTTATTGAGACAAAGTAACATGAAAATATATCATTTCTTTGTACGATGATATGTTTCATTTTGTTGGGATCACAAATTTCGAATTGATTTTACATACGTATTAATATAATTCAAATTTAATCAAAGCTTTAATATAAATTTTGATTGAGTTATCAAATATATAGTATCGATCAAAAATAATAAAATTGTAATATAAAAGAAACTTCTAATAACGGGAACATTAGGTTGTTTTTTTGCAAAAATAAAAGGATAATTTTTTTAAAAAAATATACAAAATTTAAAAGTAAACAAGTAAAAATATGAAAATAGACGAGATTGATTAGTGATTAAGATGCCACCAATTTAAAAGTAGTTTTGTGGTGTATAAACAATTTCAAGGAAAGAATATCCTCAAGAGAAGCTTCTTCCAGGTTCTAGGTGATCCCCACTCCCAAATAATTGTTACCAATAATGTATACGTACTCCTATTAAATTATATAAGTATATTGTCAGTTTAAATAATTTTTTTATATATAATTAAATGCTCAATAATATAAATTTTATAATTATAAAATTAAAATAAATCACTTGTTATAATATGTAAACATGACTAGATTAGGTAAAAATTTGACATACATTGTCATACTCTTTTTTTTTTTTAAAAAAAAAATTATGGATAGGTATTACAATTCTTTTTCCATATTTTCTTCTATAAATACAAGTTTCAAAATCATTCATCCAACATTATTTTTTTTTAAAAAAGAAACAGAATTAAACGCTCTTTTAGTCTTGTCACTAGTCACTATTAAATATTTTCTTCTTGTTGTCTCTTTTATAATACTTCACCTGATTAACTACTATACTATATATAATATCGTCCTCTTTCTAGCAAATATAATCCACCACCAAAAAAACACAATTTTAATTTCTCATCCTTGCTCAGCGTTACATATTATTTAAAGTTAATTTCTTGTTTATATCAAAAGCAAAAAATGGGAGTTTCAGGTACACTGGAATACTTATCTGAAGTACTTAGCAACGTTAAGAAGAGCAAGAAGAAGAAACAAATCGCAACTGTGTCCATCAAGATTAGAATGGACTGTGAAGGTTGTGCTCGTAAAGTTAAAAATGCTCTCTCTAAAGTAAAAGGTATATTTATTTTTATAATTTTAAGTTATATATATATCGTTACGTATTTTTTATACCAATTAAAAAAATAAATTTCTTTAAATAAGTTAGGGAAAATGCATAAGTAATCCTCAATCTATGTTCGAAATCTCAAAGAATATTTATACTATATTAAAGTTTTATTATACTCTGAACTTATTTTATAAATAATTTTCTACCCCTTTTCGACCTACGTGGTACTATCTTGAAAAAATATCAATATGAATTGAGCCCACAAAATAGTATCACGTAGGCCAAAAATAAATTGAAAATTATTTATAAAATAAGTTCTGAGTATAATAAAACCTTAATATAGTATAAGTGTGTCTCGAATATTTTTAGCATGAATTGAGAGTACTGGTATATTTTTTTAAATATAAGTTATTTAAAAGTAAAATCACAATAGTGGTTTTCCTTTTCTTTTCACCTATCATGGCAACTTTACATGTTATAACACGTCTACTATTTATGGATCACTTAGATATATCTTTTTTGTTTAAGAATTTTTTTTCGTTTTAATTTTTGTGACTTGATTCTGAATTCGAATAATTTCGAACCAACTTGTGGTTCAATTTTTGAATAGGTGCAAAATCAGTGGATGTGGACTTGAAGCAACAAAAAGCAACAGTAACAGGATTTGTGGAGCCAAAAAAAGTGTTGAAGGCAGCAAAATCGACAGGTAAAAAATGTGAAATTTGGCCATATGTGCCTTATAGTATGGTGGCACATCCTTATGCTGCTGGTGTTTATGACAAAAAAGCACCTCCTAATTTTGTAAGGGCAACTACTGATCCATCTGTTGCTCACTTAAATCCTGTTGAAGAACAATATTCACTTATGTTCAGTGATGAAAATCCAAATGCTTGTAATATTATGTAAGTAGTACTTGATTATTAGTATAGTTTTTTTCTCTCTCTTTATTATAAAGTATACTTGATCCTTTGTGTGTATTTTTATTGTACTGTATAAAGAATTTTAATTTGTGAATTAAAAGTAGGAAAAAAGATAAATATTTTTTCGAACTATCGTATATGGTATGCATATATTCTTCGTAGTGGTATCCCTGTTGTCGAAAAATTAGAGTGTGTATACCTTTCACTCTAAAGGAATGCTAAATAGGGACATGTGGCTGTAGTCTCATTCGTCGATCTGATGTTGGGTCGGTGGATAAGATAATGACGCGTGTATATCCGTTAGTGTAAAGATATATATGCTTTAATTTTTGGAGCGACAGGGGCACCAATATGTCCCAAAAGTATGACGAAAGATATTCGCATACCATTTATGATAGTTTGGGGATAGATTTGTTCTTTTTCTGTTAAAAGTATATATCATCATTGTCTAATAAGAGGAGTTTAAATTTCATGAGTGTTTGATTGAATTGATCAAAGTTTAAGTCTATCGGTTTATGATACAATCTACTTTGACACCTATGTAGTGATATATGATTTTCGTTTTCAATCTTAATGCAGGAGCGGAAAGCCACTTGACTGTAAGGAAAGGAAACATCGTTTTTCAATTATTACTTGCTGAGTATTTATAATTTAAAAAATTATATATCAATCTTTAAGAATAATTTTGAATCTCGCCAGTTGATGAGATTATTATACTAAATATATTATCATTATAATTATTGATAATTCAGAGCTTTTACTTAATTGATAATTAATAGGAGAATAGATTGATATATAAACTTTTAATTATATATCAAACCCAATTAATTTAAATTTGTACAGTACAAAGTCAATTAAAAGGGAATTGAACACTTCTACATTTAGATTTCTTCTAGTTGCAGGTTTACTTTAAAATATCATTTTCTATTTCGTTGTAACCTTAATGGTGACATATCTAAGCTTACATGTGTATATCAATCTACATTAGCTTACAATATTTACTTTATTTAATATTATGAGAAAATATTAATGAATTATATATATTTAAATGAACAGTATAGATTATAATTCCACAACGTTTGAATGGTCACTTTATTCCTCAAACGGTGAAAGTGGCAATGTGAATTCAGCCATCAAAGTCAATAATGGTCGGTGAAAGTAATAACAAATCTTATCCATAAAAATATAGAGTTATATGATAAAATATATACCAACCTCGAAAGTCTTAGATACATAAAAAAAAAGATGTCATGAACACATACTAATCTGTTATTTATGTGTCATAAAAGTATTTAGCATTAATTTTATGTATTTATTATAGATATTTGTTTAATATTGACTTAATATATAAAGTATCAATTTCTTATCATATATTCAAAATACATGCATTTAGTATTGATATACACGTATAGTCTAAATAGGAAATGCTAGGAGTAAATCATGACTAAAGAGTACTTGTATTACTATTTAAAAAATTTCAAAAATTATTCTTTACTTTTTTAGCACTAGAATTTTTTCCTATAGATACATAATCTTAATTAAGATACATGTACATTTTATCAGATACATCGTATATCTTTTTAGACACGTATATGAGTCCGGAGCCTAAAGGGTATAAAATATTAACAAAAATTTTAAAATGGTATATAAAATTTTATACTAACCAAAATGGTAAAATTGCTGGAACAACAGCGATTTCCTCCACCAGAAAAAGCAAAATCACTGCTACTGTAGCGATTTTGCAAAATGTGATTTTTTTTTTTAAAAAAATTCTTTTTTTAGAAAATCATTTCCATTTTTTTAAAAAAAATTTAAAAGAAATCTGCAACGATTTTGCAAAATGTAATTCTTTTTTTAAAAAAATTCAAATCGCTACCGGTGGAGGAAATCGCTGTTGTTACCGTTTTAATTAATATAAAATTTCATATATCATTTTGATATTTTTATTAATATTTTATATCCTTTAGGCTCCAAGACTCACACATATACACCCTAATCAAATACATATTTTGATCATCAAATCACTGGAGAACCCTTTGTTCTCCATTGCTCATTTCCTTACAGCCAAAACGAGCAACCAAAATTCCAATAATACTATTTTAAATGATGAACGCCGTAAAATATGGTTCAAATAATTAATAGATTTGATATATTATTGTAAAAATTTCTTTTCTATGCTACTTACTTAAGTTGACATCATTTTTGAAAATTAGTCAGACAAAATTAGATATATTAAACTATACATTTAGTTGATTTTATTCGGATATAAAAAATGATTAAATTTTTGTAATGGTTTGAAAAATTTCAGAGAATTGTATCACTTTACAAAAAAATTGGAGACATCATATGTAGATGTTAAGCAGCCACAAACGTGGGAGGGGAAGGATTAAGAAGAAAGTCATATGATTTAGAGCAAAAAATAATTATATAAATTTCCATTAACATTAGGGTTTTGATACAATACTTATTGTCGGAATGTCTCATTCAAAAAATACTCTGTTTGATTGATTAAAAAAAAGCACTCAAGATAAGTATTCTCTCCAAAACATGGTTGCAAGCACTCTTCCAACTTAGAATTCACTCTTTTTTGGGAACGCGTGGACACAATCAATGGAGAGATATAGGAATGGTAAAATTCCTATACATAAGTTTGAATTAACAAAGATTTTTTTTCTTATTCTTCCCAACTTTTCCCTCGATGAGTGACTTTTCATTGCACTTGAGAATGGTGTAAAACAACTTATACTTCACTCTACTTCATACCCGACGCTTATTTTAACAATCTTGTCAGCAAAATCATTAAGAGAATTGGTTCTGCTCGATTGTACTCTTATGCCTGTGAGTGGGGTTGTGGAATTGTAATTCTTTTAAGAAAGATTTCTCTGTCTAATGTAAGAGTAGACGAAAATATGCTTCATACTCTACTTAATAGTTGTCACTTGATCGTCTCTTTCATCGATCGTTGAGAATTGTTCGAGGATAAAAGTTGTAAAGATCAAGTCGGATTCCCTCAAGATCTTGAAGATTATACAATATTGCAAGATATGTTACATTGATGCTCCAAAATTGGTATCCCTCGACTATACAGGGTATGCAATTCCTCAACTTAACAGTATTGCAAGAGAATCAACCCGAAAATTATAAATATTCATTTATTTCTTTGTAACTTTTCATATTTAAGTAGGATATATTAAGTTTTAACTTTTTAAATCAAATTTTATGATTTCATATCTTAATAAATTTTATCAACTTATTATTTATAGAACTATATTACCGATTCATATAATAAAATGATGTTTTCAATTTTAAATTGATAAAATCTTGCTTCAAAATAATAATTAAAAAAGTATTTGAAAAAATCATTTATAAAAAAGATATTAAGTAATAATTTACATCTAAAAAATTTAGAAAAATAAATAAATATAAATAAAATTTGTTTAAATTTTAGGTCTCGAATTATGTTGAGTCACCCCTACCCGCATCGTCGGCTTCTTTCTTATTTCTTTTTTATTTTTATTTTTCATCACCTTCCATATCCAACTTTTATCAACCCCACCCCATCTCCACCAGAATCCTCCCCCCTCCCTATTTCTTATGTATATTTAGATTAAGACTATAAGATTAAAAAATCATGTTTACTTGATTTTTATATTCAATCAAAATAAAAAAAAATCGATAACTAAAAAATTAATAGCTACAACAAGTTAAATGAGTTAAAATGAAGGAAACATTTGTAATTAATAAAGTAAATCATAATAAAGGATGTTGAAACAAGAAACATGATGTTTTTATTCAAACTTAAAAGAGTTTTACCAAGGAAATTGATCACTTGAAATCAACAACAAATTCATCAAACAACAAAAGCTAAACTTGAATAATGAAGTTCAACACTTTCTACTTATGAAATTGAAAAGACTTTAAAGGGAAAAATATGATTTTTTTATTTATGATATAATAGCTCCAACTTCAGCATGATATTCTTTAATTGCTCGAGTCAATCACCTTTTTGCCCTAGTATCCAACTTGAGGCTTCTTGTCAATTTTAACTGGCACAATTTTAAAAAAACATTAATGTACGTCCAAAACTATTTCATTTTATTTAGATTTATAATTTTAAAATTATTAAGAAAAAAATAACTTACGAAAGCTTGGATTCAGCTTAAGCATACGCAAGTGAGGATTCAGTGGCAAACCTTTGTCAGCAAAGCTTGAATCATACAACCCATTGCTAAGAGGGAAATCAACAATCATTATTAATATTTTCACAACATTTATTGTATTTTCGTATCGTACAAAATATTCTGGTTTTATAAAATAAAATACCTGGTGGCCTGTGGGACTTCTTTCTTCCTCCTTTTAATTTCTTGCTCAGCAGCTTCTTTCTATAATAATTTCATATAGTGAATACAATTATTTTTTCTTAGAAAATGAATTTGACAAATTAAATTATTAACAATAAATTAGGAATAAGATATACTCTTGCAAAATAGGCTTCACGTAATATCTAATAGTAAAAGAAATATTAATAATTTTTAAACAATTCAAATAAGGAAATATAATAAATAAGAAAATATTAAAAAAACCCATCAAATCATTCAATTGTGAAATTTCCTGTATTGTCAGAATGTCTCATTCAAAAAATACTCTGTTTGATTGATTATAAAGAAGCATCCAAGATGAGTATTCTTTTTAAAACATGGTCGCAAGCACTCTTCCAACTTAGAATTCACTCTTTTTTGGGAAGGCGTGGACACAATCATGGAGAGATATTGGAATGATAAAATTCCTATACATTAAGTTTGAATTAACAAATGTTTTTCTTATTATTCGAACTTTTCCCTCGATAAATGGCTTTTTATTGCACTTGAGAATGGTGTAAAACAACTTATACTTCACTCTACATCATACCCGGTGCTTATTTCAACAATCTTGTCAGCAAAATCATTAAGAGAATTGGTTCTGTTCGATTGTTATAAAAACTCTATCTAGAAGCTTGAAATAGCTTCATTGATGTTTCTGGGAACAAGTAGAATTGAAGAAGAAGAAGCAGAATTGAAGAAGAAGGAATATAGTTCTTATATTCTCACACTTTACAGATGCTACATCTGATATATATATACAAATGTGTAGTAACTAACTTCAAACCTTCCACTCACACTTTTCACACATATACACACACGCACTAACTAACAGAATATAATCCTAACTAACCACGTGAATATGCTGACTAACTAACTGAATTAATTGAAAATGGGGAAGTTAACACTCCCCCTCAAGCTGAAGGGTGCAGGATGTTGAGCACACCTAGCTTGCTTAACAGATGACATGTTGAGCTTGACTCAATCCTTTGGTTAACAGATCAGCAACTTGTTGATGTGTGTGTACATACTCTGTTTGAATCAATCCAGTCTTAACTTTATTTCTAATAAAATGGCAATCTATCTCGATGTGCTTAGTTCTCTCATGAAAC